GAGCAAACTCAGGGAGGCAGTGAAGGACAGGAAGGCCTGGCGCAATATGGTTCATGGGGTCACGAAGAGTCGGACACGACTTAACGACTAAACAACAACAACAAATAATCCTTAGCCTTTAGAGCAAATCCCTTCAGAATTAAGTTGACATCCTCTCTGTACCACAGTAAATGTCCGAATATATTTATTAGTAAAATACTAGTTGATTTTTGGCCATTAAAGATGCTTTAATATGGATTCCTGTAGCAGGCAAGGTCTTAGACTCAACAACCTAATTGACAGTATGAGAGTATGTCATAGGGACTCCGAGAAAGTGACCACTGCAGGAGGGCAATTATATTTAGTACATCATTTACAGCAATTCATATCCTTTGTATAATGACATCTTTACGCATGAGTTTGATGCAAACTGCCATGAATGAGATCATTTGTATTATTTGACAATACTAAGCGATGATGTAATTCACCATGAATGACAATGCAGTTTAATGGACATTTGGGAGTAACAGATACCTCCTTCTCCCCACTGGTTGGTAAAATTGAGGCTTACTTGTAGCTTTACCAGCCAGTCATTTAACAATTGCATTATAGGTTTTAAAGAAACCTTCCAAAAATTTAGATCGCGTTCCAAAAAGTGCATCTGTGCAGTTTTGATTTTAGGAATCTTTCCCTTTTAGGAGTCCTCCTCCTAGGAGATGCTTACAATATGAGGCATCCTCTGACAGGCGGAGGAATGACTGTTGCTCTGAATGACATCAAGATTTGGAGGTGTTTGCTGCAGACCATTCCGGACCTGTATGAAGACTCTGCTCTATTGCAAGTAAGATATATATTTTTTGTTTTATACAACTTCAAGTAGGCATTCTTTTTTATACTTTAAATCTTTTTTCATCTGAATGAATAACACGATGTAGCACAGTAATGGAAAATACAGTACAATGTAAACAGTGTAATATATTTGTACAAATGCTGAATGAATACTGGCCAGAACCGAGTGACAGCAGAGTTCCAGAAATTTCATTTCAGAAATCGAAGCCTTTGCTGGCTGCTTCCTTATTCTCCCGGCATCTTCCAGACCTCAGATCCAACTGGACAATGAATGGTATTGTTGTGAAAGTGACTGAAGCTCACAGGCTCCTTTCCAGACATAGAGTCAATATGGGAAAGGGAAAGATGCTGTCTCTGGCATGTAGGCATGGAGATATATGCACAACCCCTCCCTTGGTTAGCGAGGGAAAATTTGAGGGCTTTTGAAAATAAGAGCGAAAATTCCAAAGTGGATAGAAGAAGATGATACATGCAAGAGCTGGGAACAGGAGTTGGCTTAGAATTGGCTTTTTCCGGCTTCTGATCAAAATAGGCTTTCCAGAAGAAGGAATATTCTAGAAGAAGGTAAATGAAGCAGAAGGAACACTTGTTTTAAGGATTTTCTACTTTTGTAGAGTTTGGTAAATGTCTAGCTAGAAGCTGTCCTTTTGTTACGTGTGAGGCTAAGTAACTCTGTTTTTCTGGACAATTATAGGATGTTGGTTGCTTAATGTTAGCTTCCATTCATCCACTTCAGACTGGGCATGAATTTTCCTTTTTCTTTTAGAATCTCTTTGTCATTTACAATAATAATAATAATAATCAGAAACTATGCATTCTTCAAGACCATGGTGGAATCCTGCTAGGACTGACACCGGGAAGTCACAGAAGGAGCTTATAGCAGAAAGCACTCAGTTCCTTGTCCACAAAGTAAAAAGAGCACATACTACTTGGTGTAAACATAATGGAGCCAATGCAGTCAGGAAAATAAATATTTGGAGAATTTGAAATGGGCTGGCCTGCAAGTCAGGCTGGATTCCTGTCTGTTCAAATTTATATCTTACCCTGTGCTTCTGACAACATGGTCCAGTATCGATGAAAATGTAGGCATGTGAAAGCCTTAAGCTGCTTTGTTGTTTCTGAAAAACCCAGTCTATCAAAACCCAAGCCTATTGGTATTCTTGCTGTTCTGAATATTTCTACTTTTTGCTGACAGATTTCAGGGAATACTGGCACCACAGAGGTAAAAGTCAGACTTGGTATAAATCATGCATAAAAATGCTACCCCTAGGTTTTACCATTTTAAAAATGTGGATATGTTATATAACATGGTAGAAGAATACATAATGGGGAGAGGATCTATGACATAACAAAAGTATTATCTGCCTAAGAGTTATATCAAATTAAATTTTCAAGTGATGGAAAAGAGTTCCAATGAGGCTTCCAGGAAAGCTGCTGCCAGTATCAGTAGATACAAAACAGCTAGATAAGCAGGATGTTCGTGGACATCCTCCTGTTGGGCAGCTCTTGAGATGACTTCCCATGGTTACCACATTAGCAACTTCCTCTACCACTTAAATTGTGTGCTGGAAATTACATTGGGTCCTGATGGCATCAAGCATCTACAATATTTATCTTTTACAGGCCAAGAAGACCTTTTACTGGACAAGAAAGAAGTCTCATTCCTTTGTTGTGAATGTTCTTGCTCAGGCGCTTTATGAATTATTTTCTGCAACAGATGGTATGTGCTTTTTCAGAAATGCATTTCCTTTCAAGTATTGTTCTTCCCCTTCACTTTGGAATAATTATTTGTGTTTCATCCTTGTTCCTCTTCCTGCTGTCTCTTTAATTCTTAACTAATCGTTGGTTTGAGTTAACTATTTTCCTGCATGTCAGTCTTGCTCCTGTCAATTTCTCATCTCCTGCATGACCCTTTTGAAATACTGGCATTTTTCTCTCAGGCTTTTTCCTCCATATCCAACCCTCTTTACAGATAATCAAATAATTATTCAGTTCCTGTACACCTATTTATTTTTATGTTGCAGTAATAAACTATATATTTGATCAATCTTATTTTCTGGTTGATTACTTATCTTGTTGTCCCAGTTCTGGCCATAGTATGCTGCGCATCTAGGGCTGGGGCTTAGAACATGGACACCCCTCTTGGAACCCAACAAAACTTTCAACAGATTTTATTTTTAAGGTTTGTTTGAAAGATAAAATGAAATCAAGCTTCTCCTTTAATTTCAACAATTCTGTAGAGCAGTGTTTCTCAACCTCTGCAAGTTTAAGATGTGTAGACTTCAACTCCCAGAGCCAGCATGCTGGCTGGGGAATTCTGGGAGTTGAAGTCCACACATCTTAAACTTGCGGAGGATGAGAAACAGTGGAACAAAAATAAAAACAATAAATAATAGGTGATATTTGAAAATAAAAGTAGCTGGTACCCAATATTCTGGAAGTTAAAGGATTCAGTGGGAAACACCTCACTGGTTTCCCTTCTGGTACCTGAATCTTTTGTGACTGATCATACTATATGCCAGCCATTTTGTAAGAGCACCCATATCTTGCTCCTAAAAATGTGCCAAGTAGCACTATCCTCTCCTGCTCAAATTGTGGCTCCTAATCTGAGCCAAACATCCAAGTATATCCATCATAATGACATAACAATATATGTTAATGACTGCACACTTGCAGAAGAACAGCCCCCAAAACATCATGCTGCTGCCAGGTCAATTCCATCTGGTAAAGGTTTTGTTCACATATATTGGATAAGATTTTAAAGGGAATGTTGGAGGCAAATATGTACTGCCATGTATGCTGTAAAATTTGTATGTTAATTTTCTTATTTTGCCTGGCCTGTTAAGATGATTTCATGTTACATTTGTTTGACAGATTCTCTGCACAAGCTAAAGAGAGCCTGCTTTCTTTATTTCAAGCTTGGGGGCAAGTGTGTATCTGGTCCAGTTGGATTGGTTTCCATGTGAGTTGGGGTAGCTTTTTCCAATTCTTGTTCAACTTGTCAATGGCAACAGTTGTAGTTAGCATAGCCCACGACTTGCCCTGGGAGTCTTTAGAAAGAGACACATGGAGGATAATGATGATTGACAGAAGGGGCCAACATGAGTTTTCTGGCTAGACAATTAGGGTAAACAAACCAACCATGTACCATGTTTTATTTAATTGTTCTTATTTAGGGCATAAATAGCTGTCTTCTACTATGTCAGAATATGGAGGTTGAATGTAGTCTTTCCAGTTATTGGCTCCTTCAGCCTTTTAATAGAGGTAAAAGTGATTAAATCTTTTTTTTGTAATAATTTTATTAAAGGTTACAAATATAAAGGTAAAAGAGTAAGGCAAACTAAGAGAAATATAAAAACGAGGAAAAAAAGAAAAGTTCAAAGAGAGAGAAAGAGCAGAGATTAAATCTAAGATCTTCCACATATAAAATATTTACAACTGAGTGTGGTCCCTTGAAGCACCTATATGACCCTAAGGCCCTTGAAAATGTAAAATGTTAGAATTAGCGATAAAACTGGTTTGCCTGCTTACAGCTGAAATAAGCATTGTATAAAAGAAAAGAGCAAAGGGAGTATGGGAATTGAACAGGAAAAAGCATCTAATTACAGGATTTCAGAAAACAGAACAGATTTTAGGTTATTAAAGAATGGGAGTAACTGAAATGGGCCTAACAAACAGTCAGAAACTAGCAACTTGTTATGCAACTCTATAGAATTATCCTGCATTTTAAAGAAAGTTTATATGGAAAAGCAGAGAGAGCTGACATATTGCAAAATGCGATTTGGGTTCTAAGCCGTCTATGGAAAAGTTTAAAGACACCCCCCCCCCCGATATTTACCTTTTAAATTATTCTATTATCATGCCATTTTAATGGACGATCTTTTCATAGTTTGTAGTATTTTGCTCACAAAGAATACATTCGTCATGGTTTATTCCTCCTACCAAATCTTTCTTTACAGTTTGTCACCGAAGCCCTTTGTCCTGATTGGCCACTTCTTTGCCGTTGCCCTCTATGCCACTTACTTCTGCTTCAAGTCGGAATCTTGGATCACCAAGCCCCGGGCCGTTTTCAGCAGCCTCGCGGTGATGTACCGGGCTTGCTCTGTCATATTTCCACTTATATATTCTGAAATGAAATACCTCATCTACTGAATACAAAGAGGCAGAGAGACAGGAAGAGGAACCGCTTGGATTTCTTCACGTCTTCCAGATGTGTCTTGTCTCTTAAGTCAAAATGACAACAGCAGCAACAGAGCGGTTCTGCTTGGTATGCGCTGTTGGCACGAGATCTTGCAGTGGTGATTTGAGGTTTATAAGCACATAGATAATCTTGTCAAACAAGAGTAGATAAAAAAGCATTCTAAACTATGGGAGGGGGGGGTCACAAAAGTTACTTCTGAAAATAATTGTCTAGCATATTGGGGGGGAGGTTTGGCAGACTGTCAAGCTCTTCCCTTTCCTTGTCCCTCTGATTTTTGAGGCCAGGACTTAAAATATTAAATAATGATATCTCTGGAGCTACTGCTTTGGACTATGGGCATATGTCCAGAGATCACAGCTTAGAAATCCCCCAAACTCAGCACATTTGTTTTCTAGTCATATCGACTTTGCCTTATTTCCACCTCCATGTGCTGGCTGACCAGCTCCTCTTCCCTCTGTTTCCCTCTACTTTTCTTGGGAAAGAAACAGGAGTTTGTCCAGCCTCTTAATAGTGTCTTACAACAATGGCAATCACATGTCTGTATGAAATTCAAGTTATGGGTCATCCTGCCAGGAGATGACATACCTAAAATTCATGATGTTGCTCATGTTAGGATGGTAAACCAGACATGGGCTATACTGTACTGCCTGAGGCTGCAGGTAGAAACTGGCTTATCTAAATGACCTTTCATACCAAATTCACTTTGTAGAGAAATCTGAAAAACTATTTTCCCTTGCATCTTGTTTTTTAAAAAATATAGGGATTTATTTATTTATGGAGGAATGCTTAATACTGTTGAGCTTTCCCTTGCAGTCTGAAATGATATAGCCCAGGGCTTACCCCCTCAGGAAGAACAAGCCAATCCTGGAATTTATGTAATGACAGCAGTGAATCTTTGATGCCTTCATATTGCTGGCTTAATTAGAACTGCCCGTTTTGAAGGGTTAGGAGTAGGGAACCTACGGTCTTCAAAATGCTGCACTACAGCTTTCATAAGTGATGGCTGGGGCTGATGGAAGTTGGAATCCCAACATTTCATTAGGGCAAGGTGGATGGGAGAGGGGAAATTAGTGCAGAGTGAGGGGTGATGTCTGTGGATGGCACAGTCTCCATTCTGTTGTGTTTCTGGGGAGAGAGTCAAGCGTCATGATAAACTGAATGATTTAGCTATTAGGTATACTGAGATAAATGGGGTATGTGTCTGTGTTCTCACACACACACACACACACACTTGTGTATGTTACCTTGTACAAATAAAGTTTCTAAAAGATACTTGCAACAAACACTTTCAGCTATTATAACAGAGATCGCTAAAATGCCAGTTCTGGCAATATAAATGGCCCTGCCCTGTTATGTTAATAAAATAAATGAAACTAAGAAGGGCAGTTCAATCAATTTAATAAAGCATCTGCAGCTCTTACATGTGTATTTCTTCACTGATATTTTCTGGTGTTAAGCTTTTCTGTCAAGTAAAATGTAAACATATATTCAATAAACATACTTTGTTTTTGTTTAAGTTCTGGTAAATATTCTAGGGATCTTTTCCTTTTTAAAATTATCTTCCATTCGTTTGCAGAAGGAAGGGGAACCGTCTTCTGACAGGTCCAAAAGCATTCTTGGGGGTGGGTGGCTATAAGAGGTTTGCTTGGTTTTTAAGTGGGTGTCAGGAGTAAGCAGCACCAAGAAAAAAAAAAAAAGAAAAAAAGATATTAAAGCTAAAATGGACTTAATTAAACATAAACCGGGATCATTGGAAAAGGAAGAAATAGTACTAGAAATCAGAAACATTAAACAGAATTATTGTGAGGCCTATAATCTGAGAATTAAAAGGGTTAATTAACTGATAAATGAAGAGAGACAGATTTGTTCTTGGCACTGAGGGTGAGAAAAAGATTACACAAGATCATAATGGAAAATTGTACTAAGAGAATGCACAAAAAGAAGTAGTAAAACAATATTGAAAGAAACTACTGGAGATGTTTAAAGAAAAAATCAGGGGAAAACAACAAAGATTGAACTGATAGAAGCCTCCAAAAGCAGAATGGTCAAAAGGACATTTATTAT